AGACTCCCAGCATTATATGCAGCCTCAAAAGGAACTTGTTGCTAGCAAGGTGGAATTCTCCTGCTGCCAACACAAGGTAGTCTGTCGCAGCTTTTCATCTCACCAGATCTATATGGCACCAGTCAATAACAGGTCTGAAAGGAAATGTTTTCACAGAAGTCACAGCAACATGAGTTGAGCTGGAGCACAATTCTTACCCCTCTTCATTGACTGGGAGTCCAGCTCAGATCTCCTCCACACCTGTATTTTCTCCCAGGCTGACAGGAAAGGAAGGGCCTTGACTCAAGGTACTATTTAACTGCTTAACAAGTAAAAATTTGTCCACATATCATACTACAGCCCTGCAAAGGTTCAAGGCTATGCAGACTAGCTCCTCCTTGTCCACACTAAAGGATGAATCATGAGAATCTACACTGTCCCCTAACCTGGCAGAATTACAGCATAGCTGGGAGACCTAATTTGCAGTCTAGCCACTGAAGTCAGATGTTATACATGTAACACTCCTGCTGAGAACAGATTTGTAAGTTGCTGCTAACAGGTAAGTGCAATTTCAGGGGACTGTGCTTTCATTCTCTCAGATTTTAAAAGCAAGTTGTCAATCACTGTCACTCTAACCACCATTCTTTTCCACCTCTCTTTCAAAAAATGAAAATGGTATTGTGTAAAGGCACACACACCTCCATCATCTTAAAACCCCCTAGTCAATCTGAAAAGAGACAGCACAGCCTATGAAATCAATGCCCATTGTCTTTTTCAAACACTCTCTAATCCCAGAAAGCCTCCTGTCAAATTGCACTCTGTTTCCAAACTGTGTTTATCTCCTTCTCTTCTCAGAAAGCACTTGAGCCTCTGTCGTCCCTGTTTGTAACAACCTTCTTGTCCTTCCCACATGCAAACTCAGTAATCACCACAAACTGGGGAGTAAACTCAGCTCCTAAAGCAGCAGGAGAAAGTCATGCAGTTGCATTTATCCCTGGGAACTGCTGTTACTGCCTTTCATCCATCACCAAGGGTGCCATGAATGGAAAGATCCCATTATTTCTCCCAGACAAGTACAAGTTGGCAACTAGAGTGAACAGACAAAGCACAGCTGCTTCCTTGGGGTGCCTAGCCCTGCATGGAGTATAACCACAAAATGCAGTGGACTGGTGTTCCATGGAAGCACTCCTTGCATCCCAGGCAGATCCAGCCAACAAGCAATGCATCACAAAAGGCTTTTACAAAGGATTTGAACTGTGGAAGGACATGAAACCATCATGTTTATCAGTGCTGTTTTGCTCCATGAACACCTCAGGGCTGCTTTATCCTCCAGAACTTGGACATGATCTATTTTCTTGATAACTCATGCTTTTCATAGCTCTCCATTCCAGTTCTTTCTGCCAGGTACCAGGTTCTCAACACATTGCCATGGTTATTTTAGGTGGTGTCCTTCACCTCACTCATTCCCAATTTCAGTCTCACTGGGATTGGGAAGAAATAGCATCCCTTAAAAACCATGTTTGTCTGCCTTCTACAATTTCAGGACTTCAATGTAACCACTTGTAAGCAGTAGTTAATTTTACTCAATAAGGCAACAAGATTTTATGAAGTGCTTGTTTAGAACAGATTCTTCTAAGGCCAAAAGAGGTACTCAAGGCAAGCTGCAGATCTTAGGAACTGCAAATCCATGTCCAATGGATTTCATATTAGTGTTTATGTTTCCAACTAAAACACTTAGTGCATGCTTGCTGGGTATGCACTTAGCAGCAACACACTGATGCATTCAAACCTGAAACAAATCCAATTAAGCAAACAAAAATTAAGCTGATCAACTTACTTCTGCTGTTATGAGGAAAAGGAAGGAAATAACACAGTTCATGGAAAGTAAATCAAGCTCTTTCAAATGACATTTCAGCAATACAGTAACAATGCCAGACCCATAACAAACCCACAAGCACTGCAGAGTGTTCTTTTTCCCATCCCTGCAGATCAAGGCTGATCCATTTCACATTCCAGGCTGGGACCAGTGATTGCTGTGAGATCACACTTCATGTGCCTAACAAATGAGGCTTTCCCCTCTGCTCAGTGTTACAAACCAAACCATTGCATGAGCCTCTCGCTGCCTCTGCAAGATCTGCAGGCACACACAAGTGCTCCAGTCCCACCAGCTGCTGCCACCCAGCACCAGCTGCTGGCCCAGGATGTGGTGGTGGGAGTGGGAAGCCTCACAGCCCAAACCACACTCAGCATCCCCAATAGTTCCCACTGCTTGTGGGCACTTACCTCATTGCTCACAGCCCAGACCACACTCAGCATCCCCAACAGTTCCCACTGCTTGTGGGCACTTACCTTGAGAGCCACCACTGGCCACACAGCTGGACCAGGACCTCAGGGCCAGGACACACTGCTCTGAGCCAGCACCTCCTTCACAGGAACAGCCAGCAGTGTCCCCCTTGGTGCTCGAGCCCCAGCACTGCTCCCACTCCAGCTGGGGCAGTGTAAGCAGCTTATCCCTGTGATTAGCCACGCTGCCGGACACCGGGTGCAGATGGCCACGGGAAAGCTGCTCTGGACCACAGCTAATTAAAGCACATCCTCAGGGTGTCCGAACGGAGGTGGAGCCTGGTCAGGGTGATGGTTCACCCTGAAGGGAGAGCAGCACCTCTGGACAGGCATCATCTTCTCCTTCTCCTCCTCCACGCGTGGCAGGGACCAGAGGAAAAGTTGTCTGGTGGTTAATCCTGGGGAGCTGCTCATTCACCACCAGGGACATCAGGCCCTGGATTTAAAAGCCAAACAAAACCACCTGTACGTTGTACCTGTGTGGGTGAGGAGAGCCCAGGGAGAAGCTCAGAGAGCCCTGCAGTGACACCAGGCTGCTGGGATCAGTGAGGCCATGGCACAGCAGCTCCATGAATCCCCTCGTGTCCTACTGAACCAGGGACAAACGTCTCCTCCTCCAAAGCCTGGGCCTGTTTTTATCATCACCCCTCTGATTTCCTGCCCTTGAGGCACTGTAAGTCTACTGTATCCTCGAGGCACTCTAAGCCTAGTGTAACTCCTGCCTTGTTCTGCTCCCTTGAGCTCCCAACTGTGCTGAATTCTCCACAGAAAAGTGCACACAGTTGGTCATTTCCAATGGAAAATGGCTGGAAAGGCCTCCCTAGATATAAGTGACTGTGCAAATACCCAAACCCCACTGCATTTTAAACATTTAAACACTGCATTAAATCAGTGGTTTTCAGTTTGTGGTTCATGGGTCTAGGGAAGAAAAAACCTGAGTGTTTAAATGTGTTATTCAGGGTTCTTTGCTGTCACAGCACCATTCTAAAGAACTGAATAAACCCCACATTAACAAAGGCTCTGCAACTCCACAAGCCCCAGAAATTTCTGCCTACCTATTCTTTCTTCCCCATCTGATCATAAGAGCAGACCAATTCCTATTCCTGTGCTCTCCTGCATGGCAGCCTGAAACACGAATGCACAACACTCATCTTGGGAGAGTAATCCCAAATATCACACTTCTATGGTATTTACCATGTGCTTGGTCCAAGTATCAGTGCTGAAAGTTCAAGTACACCAGCAGGTCACTGTAGTGCTTGGGTAGCAGAGTTGAGGAAGCATTTGCTTATGTTTAAAGTGATCAAACTTGGGAGAAAGCTGCTTAGTATTATAAATACAAATGGCATGGATTTAGAGGTTGGAGCTAAGTTAACAGGGGCCTTGGTCACTGAAGAATGAACACAGCAGCAGTTCTTGTAAAGAGAAATGCAATTGTAGAATAACAGATGTAACCTTTGAAAATGAACCTGCTTGAGAAAAACACAGCTCTTCCTAGCATGAGAATATTAATTCTGCTAAGCTGACACACTTTTTCTTCTGAAAAAAAAAATAAAACCCCTGTTGAAATTTGTTTGTTTGTTTCTGGGGTTTTGTTTGTTTGGTTTAGAATTGTACCTGAAAGCCACAGCAGGGCAGATTTACTGTGCATAACATTAGAGATTGTAGTTTGTCACACCCCACAGAGCTCACCACTGCAGTGTAAATTAACCCATTTTTCCTTTCCCAGTCCTCAATGTACTAGCCCAGCTTCCTACCCACATACTTAAAAGCCGTACCCTCTAAATCCATCAGAGTCCAGTAGACCTTTCCCCATAACAACTCTCCCAGACTGCCTGGACACAGTCCCAAACCCCCAGGAACAACCACATTTTCAAATGAGACATAAGTGACCAGTGTAACTTTTTCTAACACAGAAAAGCTGTGTTCATTTTATAGTTTTCTTAGAAAAATGTAACATTTCAAGTTCTGTTAAAACAGGCAAAAGGACGTTTCAAGGCACAAAGTATCTATAACCTACATTCAACAGTCATTTTTAAGTATCCTGAAGGACATTCAACTTGCATGAAAGCATCACTGAATAAAACCCAAACCCAAGACCAGATACTGGAGCACTAGTAGCTCCCTGGCCCAGTAAGAGCATTTTATACCAACCCCAGCTTTGTGCAAACCACCACAGCTAGCACAGGGAGTTAATAAATCTTAGGAGGTCATAAATCTTAGTTAAATAACACCTTCAAAACCAGCTCTTAGGAACTCCCAGATGTTTCCTGGAAATCTATCTGCATAAAAGCTACACTGTACTGTTTAAGGCCAGTCCATAAGCATTTTAAAGATGTCCAGAAATATTTTGAGTGGTTCCCTTACTAATAAAATAGAGGAAGCACAATGCAAGAGTTGGAAGACTGCAGAAGGTGCATCCAGTCACACATACTGAGAAAGGATTTAGGGGGAGGAAAGGAGAGTGCTGGGATTAAAATGAGTCACAGTGCTTAACATGACACCTCTGAGACCTTCTGGACTTACTGCAGGAACCTTCTGCGTAAGCTTCGTGGAGGCAAAAGAAGTGAACAATCAGATCCTCTCCTGTTTGCTCAGTGGCAGATCTTGCTCCAACAGAACAGACATGGGCAGAGCAGCAGCCTAGCTGGATGAGGGCAGTGTCCAGGGCTGCAGGTGCCTCAGTAAGGTGCCTGGGCTGCCTTGCCTGAGCCAGACCACGGTGCAGGAGCGTCCGGCTGGTCGATGGGCTCGTAGGTGCTGCGGTCCTGACCTGCACTGGTGACACCTGCACAGAGATGGAAGAGAACAAGCTTGGGAAAAACACACAAGCACAAGAACTGAATCCTCTAGAAGAACCCAACAGCTCAGGAGCACACCATGTTAGCTGCTCTATCACCTCTCCACCACCCGTGGTGTGTGAGCCTCACTACACAGGCAGGAGGTAAGGAAAGTCATCCTCCCAACATGCCTCTTCACTCCTTGAGAGCTGCTCTCTTAGTAGCCACGTGGCTGTGTGGAAAGCAAGACCCCAAATACTACATAGCAGCATAACAGGTTGCTGTAACAGCATATTTCAGCGAGATCAAGTGTGTGAGAGCTCATGGAAAAATGAGCAGACCAAGCCAGAAGCAGCAGGAACCAGGGCTAGCTGACAGCACAGACTTAAAGACATGATTCATCCATGAACCACTCTTCCCAACAATGCAGCCATGCCTCAAGTGTGCACACCATGGCACTACACTTGAATCCAGCAGGGCTCCCAATTGCACTGTGAACAATTTGTCTGTGCAAAATCATGTTACTGTCCAGGGGATGAGCACGGAAAGGAAAGAGAATGTGCATGGAGAGCTCTTATCTATGGGCCAGATACCTGCCATGGGGAGAAAGCAATCTGAAACACAGGTAGGCATCAAAGCTCATTCTAAGCAGCGAAGATGCTGCCAAGCAACAGAAAGGGATTTTGTGTGGAAAGAAAACCAGACAGAGAAGACCAGGAAAAATGCAACACTGCTAGATTCAAAAGGAAAATGGTATCAGGGAAATGAGAGGAAATTTGCCAAGCACACAGAACACAGAACAACAGCACAGAGTTTGTACTGAAAATCTTGTGAGAAACACAGTTCAGGAGAGGATATAAAACTACAAAGTGCCTGAATTCCAACCTCTGCCTGAGAGGAGCTCTCAAACAGTATCACACCCAATTTGGGATAGTGTGGTTGAAAAGGAGTCATCCCAAATTCCAAGCAAAGGAACTCCTCAATGATACCTACACTTCCCATGGCATACACATGTCAAATCCCAAAGACCAGCATTGTGAGCAGCCAATAAAAACCACCACAAACATGGCCCATAACGGCACTGCAGTGCCTCAGAGGCCTCCTCACCCAGGTAAGACACATCTGTACACAAGTACACATAATTTTCACAAGCAGCTGTTGGAGAAGACATCCACACTGCACTAGCAGAGAGATGCAAATAGCACACAGTGCCCCAAGCCATGGTTTCCTTCCACAGCCTCTCCTCCACTTGTCACAGGAATGTGATCTTTGCTAACACCAAAGCAGCACAAGTGACAGCTTCCAAGCACAGTGATGCAGTCACACCACCCTCTGGCCTGCACAGCTTTCTTAGGATAGCAAACAGAGGACGGTGCCAGGCTGCTGGCCTTGCCAGGGTGAACTCCAACAATCCCTGGCAGCTGCCCAGACATGAACTAGCATGAGGCAAGCTTGGCAAAGCTGACTGAGACCCAGAACATCCAGCCACAGCCCATTCTCTCTGGCAAGGCTGCCACATTATCATTAATGAGTATAACCAGGAGAAAAATGAGTGTCTCCAGGTAAAGCCCCACGAGGTAAACATCATTCCCATTTTCTAGGTGAAGAAATGGATGTCCAAAGCAAATCAAGGACATGTGAGGCCCACAGAAAGCACAGAGTTAGAAATCCAGCTGCTTCTCCTTCTCATTCATAACCCAGCTAGGAGACACTGACTCTGTTTTCCCCCAGAAGGAAAAGAAAGGGCTGACAAAGAGAGAAAGGCACCCAAAGGCTTCAAACAAGTACAGAGAAATGCAGGAGGAAGAAGAGAGAAAAAGCCTGTCACAACACCATTGTGGGCAAAGTGGCTGTCAGACAAGGACTGCAGGGCTGCAAGGAAAGAGAGGAAAGATATAAATTTAAGGCCAAAGGCACATCAGAACTACAAATGAAGAAATGAGGAAGAGAGAGAAAGCACCACATCTGCCTGGAAAGGGGGGCAGAAAGCAGCTGCACAGAGCTCAGGCTGAAGGGTCCAAAGTCTCCTGGAGAGCAGAGGAGGTGTCCCACCCTGCCAGGGGGGCAGAGGAAGCATCTCACCAATGTTAAAGGTGTACTCTCCTCCACGCTCCCGATACATGCGGTACACCAGGTAGCAGGACAGGGGTTTGAGCAGGAGGCTGAAGATGGCCATTCCGATACTGAAACGCATCACGTCGCTCAGAAAGTTGTGGGGAGAAGGGTAGAAGACAGAGATGTGAATGATGTCTGTGAGGACTGTGAGCAGCAGGCCAGTCAGGAACTGGAAACAGAGAGAATGGGATGTGAACTGAACACGGGTTTAACCACTAGAAGCAACAGTGACAGCATCTCTTTCTTGTGAGATCTGTGCTCACACAATCATCCCCAACCCCAGTATCATACACTGCTGACTCTTGACACTTCCCCAGCTAGACAGATACTCTTAGATGAATGATCTTGTATTTTCTGCATTTGCTGTCAGACACCTTCTCATAATATACTCCAGAACTGTTTATTTTTCTTTGCCAATCTCTTTACCCTTCAGAGGAAGGTTTTACAAAGCCTCTCCACTCAAGCATATTATATGCTTTGAGTCCTCCTCTGGCATTACAAGTCACAACAGCAGGTGAAAGAAAGCAAGAATCATGTATGTCTCATCTCTGAGAAGAAAAGTAATTGAATTACTTCTCACCACGGTTTACAGAGCTTATAGATTTTTACACTCTCTTAAAGAAACCCAAACCCACCCAAACAAGGAATTGACTGGCTCAGAGCTGAAAATCATCACTGCCTCTGCCCTCCACCCTCTCCCTGAGCAGCCTGGGGGAGGCCAATACCCTCACACTCACCATCATGATGGCATCGAGGGAATCTCGCTGCACAATGGCCCAGATCCCCACGGCAAGGACACTGAAGTTTCCCCAGGCATAGGAGGATGGCAACATGTGCCCCATGCATCCCCTGCCAAACAAGACAAAAAGACCCAGCCCACATTCACAGTCTGCATTCATCCCTGTTCCCATACAAACACCTCACTCTTGGATTTAGCATCTTCTTGCACAAGGACAGGCACAGAGTGCTGATTCACCAGCAATGTCCCATTCCTAGTCTGAAGAAATACCCTCTTCTCATCCAGGCCAGGCAGCAATCACTCACCACACTGTGAGCAGCCAGTGGACCAGAATGATGGCCTAAGAGAAAAAAAAACACAGAGAAGAAGACAAGTCAGCAAAGTTGGGAGAACTCTAAGAGGATCAACATGAAATGACACCATCTTGCCCCCAAGGGATGGATGGAAGAGTGCCCTGGACACACGAAGCTGTGCAGAAAGATGATGAGGCAACTGGGACAGTGAAGACAAGCCCATTTTTCTCCACTTCTGTTGCTGAGTATTTCCTGTGGTGCTACACTGTAGTCATTCATTCTTTTTGTCATCTCTGTTGACAGCTGATCCAGGGCTCACTTAGTGTTTTCTAAATGGGTTATTGATTCTGGAACTCCAGAAGAGTTTGCACAGAAAGTCAGGGCATCCAATTCACACCATGCTAGCACAGTTTATACATGACCAATCTGGCATCCCATCACCAAAAAGTCCAGCCTGCAGCTCCTAGCTCCAATCCTCAGTAAACCTCCTTTTTTCCTCCTTCCAGTCTGCTCAGAGCAGTGCTCCAACCTCACTGCAGTATTAACAGACCTGAAAGCATCTTCCAGGACTCTGAGAACCCAATCCTGCCACAGAGCACAGCTCTTCACTCCCAGTGAAGCCACCAAATTCCAGCAGTGCCCTAAGCAGCAATAAGATAAAGCTGTCACAAATTCTGTGCTGTGCACGTGATCCTGATCCTTGTGCTCAAGGAGACAAATCCAAGAAGAAAGGATCTCCCTGCAACAAGTGACACCAGGATTCTCTTCACCAGCACTTGCCATTTCTGTAACCAAGGAGACACACTCCCCATGTTTCTTAAGACAGCAAATGGGAATAAAATACATCACTTTAGGCTTTTTCTGTAACTATATCCATGTGCTCACTCAGTTTAGAGCCTGCTGGCCAATCCAGCAAAGGGAGATCACTCATATCCACTCTCTAAACTTTAATTTGTGGAAACAAGAATATGGAAGACAAGCCTCATCAGAGAAAGGCTGAAACCTGGACATGGAATCCATGGGATACAATCACTCTTCCAATTCTAGCTGTAAGAAAGGCTCCAATTGGCATTTATAATGACCTTGGTATTAAAAAAATACCCCAACAAACCACTACCAAACCCCCTCTGAAGCACACTACCCCCCAAAAAAATGATAAAGAAAATTGGGAAATGAGTGAGTGGCAAAAGCCTCAGTAACTCAGTGGACAGAGGAAAGCTGTATGCAGATAGGAGCATTAAGACAGTAAAAATATGATTCATTAAGATGTACTGACACCCTGCTACATTCCTTGACTTAAAACCTAACACAAAACTAGTTGCTGGAGAAGAGAGTGACCTGTGAAGTTGTGACACGAGTGAAACACAACCAGGAAAACCACAGGAGTGACCCAGTGACTGTGGCTCACACTGCTCTGCCACCACACCAGGATGGAGAGAGACATTGTCTCCTGCTCTTGCTTCCCTGCAGTGCCCCAACACAGCTGCTGAGCACTCATCAGACTTTGCTCTAACTTCAAACACTGCTTAGACAGATTTTTATTAATTAATTTTTTTAATTGTTCATGAAAGCTTTACAAAATGCTTCATTTCCCCCCCTCCTCTTCCTTACTCTCAAATTGTACCACAGAGACCAGGGAGAAACTGCTAATCAGTAAAATACAAGATGTTCTTGGATAAGAATGGAGACATGCAAATAGCATTTACTCAGGAGACTATCACAACATCAGGGAAATTCTTAATTAGGTAGTATTTAATTGCATGTTACATACCCACAAGACCCCTCAAGGCTCACCAGTTAACATAATTAGGCAGGGTGGGTTTTTAATTTTTTTTAGAGCTGTCTAGATCAATAATGCAGTTATTAAATTATAAAGTATGTTTAGTTATCAGCATAAAGTCAGGTAGTCCAGGGCTGATAGTATGAGGAACTGCTGAAATAAAAACAAGTTATTGCCCTCCTGGTTATTAGCCCAATTTACCTGACAGTTCTTCAGGGCACTGTGGTGGTCTGGGTATGCTTTAACAGAGAAAATACAGTGTTAATGAAAAGCAGACTTAAAAGCCACAGCCACTATGTGAGATTAGATAATTTGCAGTCTCCTGGTAAGACAGCAGTAGAATTTAAATTCTTTCCATCTGTTCAAGGACTTAAATCTGTACCTAAGGCAGACACACATTTCTTCTTTTGAGAAAATAACTCCTAAGAATTGAACTAGTGCTGGGAGCAGAAAATAAGGAAGGTAAGACCTTTGTCCCCTCCATTCTGGGGCAGAAGGATGACCATGTGATTAAAAGCATCCCACTGGAAACTGGGCAGAGCCAAGGGGAATTCCCAGCTCCTCTGCAAATCCCAGCATGTGATGGAACTAATTGCCAAGCATAAAAAGAGTGGGTCTGCCCGAGCCTCATTAGATGAGAAACTCTTCAGAACAGGAACTCCTTTAAACATGCTTCAGCACAGAACCTAGCACAAGGCTGAGCTTTGACTAAATTAAAAATTGCATGGTTCCAAAATCACAATTATTTTCCCCTTGTATTTCAACTTTTTCTTTCACTTCCTTTATTTTTATTTTAGACTGAGCTCATCTACTCTGTGACATTTTCACCTGAGAATACACCAACCAAAATACAGATCTGATGGGCCAACTGTGAGGATGCTCCTCATTATTAGAACAGCAGGAGGATAATGAGAGTGGTTAGGCAGTGGGAATGGTTATCCAAGGGGGTTGCTGCAGGTCTACCCTTAGAGATTTTTAAACCTCAGCTGGATTTTGAGTAGAGATATTTGATCTAACTTTGCAATTTGCTTTGCTTTGAGCAGGAGGTTGAACCAGAAGACATACAGAGGACTATTATTATTCCATGATTCTGTGACCTAGCATGTAAAAATGCCTAAGCACAAAAGGTGTGTTTCCAGCCACGTGGATTGTAGGGCATTGTCCAGGCTTGATCAAAGCCAAACTTGGTATTTCAAGCTCTGCACAATTATTGCAATGATCCTAGGATAGGTGTCAAGCTTTCATGGCCTAAGTACAGCTATGCTGCTTCCTACAAGCTTTGCTGAGCATTACTGTTAGAACTGAGCCAGGAGATTCTGTTTCATGAGCATGTTCCTCACCCACTCTAGGGCAGGCAAAGCTTGGTACATTAATTTTTACAGCTCTGCAAGTAGCTTAAAGAGACCTTAAGGCTAAGACATTGCCACATTCTGGCACAAACACAGCTCAGTCACGCAGTTTTCTTGGAGCTACTTCTATCACGAGGCTCATCTTTCTAATCTCACAGAACCCCTAAGCAGCTCATGCCAATGAATAGCAGCAGTGTGTGTTATTTCCAGGCCTTTTCTGAGTAAGAATCTCTCCCACCTTTGTGGTATTTTTCAGGGAATCAGGCTCTAACTTGGGAACAGTACAAAGATGCAGGTACAGCTATTAACTCCCTATTCCCCAGCTCTTCAGCTCCAGAGCAGGACAGGCAGATATGATAACAAGGAATTTCTTACAGTTTGCCCAGGACAAGCTCACTCTTATCTAGTAAAACACTGGGGAATGAAACCAGAGAAGAAAAGCAAAATTCTAGTTGTGTTGTCAGGGTGACTCATTCTTTGAGAAGTCTGTGGTTTTCAACTCCCCAATCTCCATCTCAATACAAAACATGTATTTCATGTTGGCAAACTTTTAATTAAATCTCCTTATTTTTCCCCGTTGTTTTAGCATGGGAAATAAAATAATCAAACCAAGTTAGAAAGCAAAGAAGAAGGTAAGATCTTTTAATCTTCCTAAAGCCCTGGGAATCAATCACACAATAGTCCAAACTTGTCAGAGCAAAGTTATCAGCAAGTTTCCAGAATGTAATACAATCCACATGCCAGACCTTGAAAAAAATCCATTTGCTTACTTGCCTCCAACAAGGGAAGTTGCTTTTCTTGGTGAACTAGTAAGAGGAGGAAAACATCATTACATGAACATCAAGCTGTTATTTAGCACAGCCACATGAAAGGCTCCCTGCACAGAGCTGAACTCCTAAGGCAGCCAAGATAATGCTCTCCTCCCACCCAAGCCCTAGGCACCAAGGCCACTGCTCACAGCTGAAAGAATCAATAGCAGAAGAACCTGAGGTGGTTAGGGATGTTTCACTCTTTGGGCAAAGCTTTAACCAAAGGAAACAGCTGAAACTTGCCCTACCAAACAAGACACACAAAGTGGCAAAGCAAAAGGGCACACACAACTAGGAATCTCAAGGCTTTGAAAATGTCAAAGACAAAAAAAATAAGAGGCAAATGGCACCTGTGTGATTTTAGCATCCTCCAAGTGTGTCTGCAAGCATGTGCTTCTCCCCAGAGTGAAAAGTGTAATATATCTGCAGTTAAGTTTCTTTCTTCCCCTTTTTCTGGTTATCACTCACCAACATCCCTAAACTGCTCACAACTGGAGCTTCCCCTCCCCAACAGAGAAGCCATTTCAGTTATCTACCCACTGATAACCCTGAAGTAAGCAGGCTCAACCTTGTAAGACACTTTGACCAACAATCAAAACCTCTGCCTCCTCAGCATCTTGCACAGTGTTTATCTTGGCTTAGCTCTGGTCATCTGAGCTGGAAACCAGCACAGACACTAGTTAACAGCCAGCTGTTGTCTCAGCCCACTCCTTGGCCACTTTAGCAACTTCCTTAAGTAAGAGTGAACTTTGGAGTCACTGCCTGCTGGAGGCAATAACCCAGACCTTCTGCAACGTTTAGAATCAGAGAATTTTAGGGCTTGGAATGGAGCTTAGAGATCATCCATCCCAACCCCCTGCCCTGGGCAGGGACACCACCCACCAGAGCAGGTTGCTCAAGGTTTTAGCCCACCTGGCTGTGAACACTGCCAGGGTTGAATTTTAGGTCCCCTTTGTAATAAAATCAGAGAATTTTAGAGGTTGGGATGGAGCTTAGAGAGCATCCATCCCAACCCCCTGCCCTGGGCAGGGACACC